CCCCTAGCAGGTCAGTCTGCTACCAGGCTCGTCAATACGTTGCATCGCTGTGCCCCCGGACCGCGAGAGTCGGATACGATGTGTACTCACGGGCTACAGGCTGAAGGTGGCTTTACTTCGTGTGCGCAGACCGTGGTCGCCCCCCTTCTCATGCACAGGGACGGGCTACTGCCACACCTCTGCGTCTGTGAGCCATGGTGAGTCAGGCCCTACTTATTTTTCTTGGTGCGGCCGTGTGTCCTGGCTGGGATCCGCACTTGCCCCTTTCCCTCCCCCCCCTGCCTCCGGGCCTCGCATCACGTGCTGTTCGGCAAGAGACTGGCGCCGCCAGGGCGACTTCTCCCCGCCGTTCCAGTGCCGTCCCAGAATCGGTCGCCGCGCTCGTCCCCACCGGTCGGGATGCTCGGCTCGATCACCTGGTCTCGCTGTTCGCGTCCTTGCTTGTGGCTGTCTGGTGCCTGGCGCCTAAAGGGCGACTAATGTGTCCGAGCCGGTCACCTCTTAATGAGGGTCATTTTGTCCCTGGCATGTGCATTCGCCACTGCGGCCTATGTGCCGCTGCGGCCAATTATCTTCGTTCAGCGCCCCGAGCCGTGCCCCGCTTCTTGACCTTCTTCATGCTGGAGCCGCCGACCAAAAAAAGTAGCCCCGCCAGCCCATCTAGAAACGATGCCCAGGGGAGCTGGGGTGATCAGGAAAGTGAGGGAGCAGGCAGGAAACCAAAGTGCGGGGGAAGCTGTCATATACCCCAAGAGGGGGAGGATTAAGGAGGAATCGTCATGGTCGTCGCAGGAACAGGAGGAAGAGGAGGAGGAGGAGGAGGACGAGGAGGAGGAGGACGAGAGGGAAGAGAACGCGGCAGAGTTGGGTACCTCGAGGATCCCCGCTTGAGGCCTCGTATTGGGCCGCTTGAGAGCCTCTTGAAGGCCTCTTGGGGCCGTCTGGGCGCCCCTTGGGTTCCTCTTGGTGCGCTCTTGGGGGCTTCAGGGGCGCTCGTGGGGCCATCTTGGAGGACATCGATCAAACCAGAGGGGAGCTTCAATTGGGGCCCCTGCTCGGGAACCCCAAAGGTCGCCTCTTGGGGCGCTCTTGGGGCTCTCGTGGAGCGCTCTTGGGCGCTCTTGGCGCCGTCTTGGGGCCCTCTTGGGTCTTTCCCTGGGCTCTCCTGCGCCATCTTGGAGCCATCTTGAGGCCTCGGACGTCCATCGGAAGCGAAAAGGCGAGCAAGCAAAACACGTTCATGCCCTTTAGGTGTTGGAAGGATTTTGGCGTCTCGAAGGCCTCATTGGAGGTCTCGGAGGCCTCCTGGAGCCGTCTTGGAGCGTCCTTGGGGCCTCTTGAAGCACCTTGGGGGCCGACTTGAGGCATCTTGGGTTATCTTGAACCATCTTGGATGTCATCCTGGGCTCTCAGATGCCCTCTTGAAGCCATCTTGGGCGAAATCGTACCCTCTGACACCTCGCGGGGCGCCCCGTTCTGGTCCAGGCGAGGGGGGATTGGGGGACGGGTATACCCTTCCTCGAAGGCGGAGGAGGGGGTTGGAAGAGGAAACTCCCTAGACAACCTACGCCCAGAGGGCTGGTGGGACTTCATGGTGGTGAGGTGCATGGGGTTACTGGAATCAGCGTGGGCGCAATACAGGCAAGCTGGGTGCGGAAGTTGTTGTGTCTAGCTAATCGGTCCCATTAGCATGGCGAATTTGGAGTCGAAGTCGGCCTCGTCCGCAAATAGTTCCTGCACGTAACGTTGTACAGGGACCCCGTACGCAACCAGAGAGAAAACGAGCGTGCCATGCGCCCAGCATCAACCATATGTGTGTACCCGTGCTCGGTGGCGGCCGCAAAGAACATGCATCCCGGATGGTCGCGGGAATTTGATCGTGCGTGGCATCTCGTTCGACACCATTCGACACCCATTCGTATCCGTGTTTCCCACATTAGCAAATGAGGTTGTTTCGAGTAGTGCCAGCCACAAATGTGATACGGTCGATATGTTGCGTATCCTCGTCATCATATCAAATATCAGCTCTGGTAGGTCGATCATCAATGATATATCCGTAGTTTTTGTTATTCAAAGATTGGCGTGCCTGCTTCTCCTGGCAGACCGTCGTCGAACAAGCCCTCGTTCGGGTAGGCGTCGTCGTCGCCGTCGTCGCTGGGTGAGCCGCAAAGTGCATCGTCGTCGGCGTCGCTGGGTCGAAGGACATGGTCGCGTAGCAAGGCGTCGGGTAGGGGGTCGTCAAGGAGGTCATGGGGAGGGGCGTCGGGCATGGAGGCGTATAAGGAGAAGGGAACTTTGGGAAGGGCGTTGTCGGGAGCATCGTTGTCGCATGCTGCTATTCGCGGCGTGTAAAAGGGAGCCAGCGGTTGGTACAAGAGCGAGACCGACAGCGAGAGTTTGATTTGCAATTGTAGAACTGGACCGTTATGGTGTCACATGTACTGTCCCACGTCTCTAGGTAAGGATTCAGGCGCATTCTCATTAATAGTGTGGTTGGCACACCTACTATATTGCGCTCTACGTTGTCAACAAAAAAGTTGTTGATTTTTGCCCGGGATGATTCAAAACTATCCCGCCGGAGTATCGTTTTGCCAAGAAAAAGGAATGTGTTATTGTTGTCCGCCAGTGCCTTCCAATGTCCATGTCGTCGTCCAATTCTTGATGAGTGCCATCTACGTTTTTGTCGCCTTTCCAGTCTCACACAGCCAACCTGTGGAATAGTAATGAACCGCCATGTTTTCCAGAACAGCCTCAGGGTGAAGATGACAGAGAGTATACCTCGGGTACGGTTTCGTGTGCGCGGGCTGCCCGCCTGAGGGCGGCACGCGTAGCTCCAGGCCCGATCGGGCCCGAAGCTTCGTCTTTTCGCTGCCCATCTTTATATTCCCCCTCTCTCCGAAACATCGGGCGTACGCTGGATCCCCCTAGCGGCTTTTTCGGCGCAGCCGCAGGTGCGCTCCGCGCGCCAACGCGGTGCGTCCAGTGCCGAACCTCGGTCCTCTCCCTTCCTCTCCTCGGCCTGTTCTTCCCCTTGTCCATCCTTCTCTTCTAGGCTGTGTGCCAACACGGGGGGCCGCCTTGTGTGGAGCCGCGGGGGTGGCCCCCGATGGGGCGCTTGCGTCTGCGAGCGAGATCCAGCTTCCAAAGCGGCGCGTTGAGCTCTCTCGATCCTTCGTCGGTCCAGTGTTCTTAACTTCGGAGGGTCTCGATGTATACGCTGGCTCGACGACTGATCTGGGAGTGTAGACGTTCCAGCACCCCACGGGCTGGGAAAGTGGGGCGTTCATACGCCGAGGTCGAGCTGTGTGCAGTACCACGCGATTCAGGAGATGCTGAGTCCTGACAGCGGAGGCCGACCTCTCTGTATGGACTTACTCCGTGAGGACTCAGCCTCCTATCGGGAGAGGCCAAGTCCAGACGGAGTAGACCCAGACGGAGACCGAGCGCTCCGTATGAGCCCACTCCTTATGGGCTTCGCCTCTCGTAAACGACCCCGCGCCTCCTCACCGCTTCCGCCCCCTCCTCGCTTCCTCCGCCACCCCCCCTCCTCGCCTCCTCGCCCCCCCGCCCCCATGGGCCCCCCCCTCGCCCGACCGCCGCCCCGCCCTCCTCGCCGTCTCGCCTCCCCCGCCATCCCCGAGACTCTCCTCGCCTCCTCCGCCATCCCCTGCGAGGCTCCCCTGCGCATGCGCCGCGGCCCTCCCGCCCCCGCTCTGCCCCCCCCCCCCCCCCTCTCCGCTGGAGCACGCGCACGCCTCGGGCGGCGGAGGACCTCCCGTCGCGGGCCTTCGTCGGCGCGGACGAGCTCCGGCAGGTCTGGACCGCCAGCGGCCGCGGCCTCGGCACCCCTGCGGGCTCTGCGCTTGTCGTCCTCGCCCCCGGCGCCCCCCCCCCCCCTCTCCTCTCCGAGATCCCGTCGTCGCCTCCCTTCCCCTCCTCCCCGCCCTCCCTCCCCTCTCCTCCCTCCCCTCTGCCCTCCCCTCTCCCCCCTCCCCTCCTCCCCCTCTCCCCGGGGAGGAGGAGGAATTGAGGAGGAGGAGGAGGAGGAGAGGAGGAGGAGGAGGAGGAGGAGGAGGAGGAGGCAAAAGGGAGGAGGGAGGAGGGAGGAGGAGGGAGGAGGAGGGAGGAGGGAGGAGGGAGGGGAGGAGGGAGGAGAGGGAGGAAGGAAGGAGGAAGGAGGAGAGGGAGGAGGAAGGAGGGAGGAGAAAGGAGGGATGAAGGAGGAAGGAGGGAGGAGGATGAATGAGAAAAAGGAAGAAGGAAGGAGGAAGGAGGGAGAGGGAGGAGGGAGGAGGGAGGAGGAGGACGAGCAGGAGGATGAGGAGAAGGAGGAGGAGCGCAGGTAGGAGGAGGAGGGGGAAGAGGAGAGGAGGAGGAGGAGGAGGAGGAGGAGGGGAGAAGGGAAAAGGGAGAGGGAGGAGGGAGGAGGGAAGAGGAAGCAGGAGGAGGGAGGAGGGAAGAGGAGGGAGGAGGGAGGAGGGAGGAGGGAGGAAGGAAGTAGGGAGGAGGGAGGAGGGAGGAGGGAGGAGGGAGGAGGGGAAGGAGGAAGAGGAAGGAAGAGGCAGGAGGAGGAGGAAGGACGCGGAGGAGGAGGAGGACGAGGGAGGAGGAGAAGGACGAGGACGAGGACGAGGACGAGGACGCGGAGGAGGAGGAGGAGGAGTTGGAGGAGAGGGGGAGGAGAGGGAGGAAGAGGAGGAGGAGAGGAGGGAGGAGGGAGGGAGGGAGGGGGAGGGAGGGAGGGAGGAGGGAGGAGGGGGAGGGGAAGGGGAGGGGGAGGAGGACAAGCTAGGTGCGCTCGCGTCATATCTGACATTCTACCCCTCCCTCCCATCCCTTACCATGGCTTAGACCCCCTCTCTACTCGCACAGTCGGATGTCGAGCAGGGCAATGATCCCGAAAGGGTACGCGATGCATTGTAGAGCACGGCATGGCATGGCGTAGAAGAGCACCGCAAACCGTAGCATCAACATAGCATTGCACTGCATGCCCTGGCATGGCACGGGAAATGACGCCAGCGCTGCAGCGGGAGCACGAGTCGGAACGAGCGGAAGCGCGGAAATGAGGCCAGCGCTGCAGCGGGAGCACGATTCGGAACGAGCAGAAGCACGGAAATGAGGCCAGCGCTGCAGCGGGAGCACGATTCGGAACGAGCGGGGCCCGAAAATGAGGCCGGCGCCTCAGCGAGAGCAGCATTTGGGGAACAAATGCAAGCGAGAAAGCAACTCCGGGGAATCCTGTGTGTAACAAAAAATAGTACGCGGGGGGGGGGTCTGATATTTTCAAACCGTCATCAGGGGAAGAGGGAGAGTAGTATTCATATTGAGTAATTGTGGAGGAGGAGGAGGAGGAGGGAGGAGGAGGAGGAGGAGGAGGAGGAGGAGGAGGAGGAGGAGGAGGAGGAGGAGGAGGAGGAGGAGGAGGAGGAGGGGGAGGAGGAGGAGGAGGAGGAGAGGAGGAGAGGAGAGGAGGAGGGAGAGGAGGAGGAGGAGGAGGAGGAGGACGGAGGAGGAGGACGAGGACGAGGACGAGGAGGACGAGGAGGAGGAGGAGGAGGAGGAGGAGGAGTGGAGGAGGAGGAGGAGGAGAAGGAGGAGGAGAAGGAGGAGGAGGAGGGAGGAGGAGGCGGAGAGGGAGGCGGAGGGGGAGGGGGAAGGGAAGGGGATGAAGAGGAGGAAGAGGCGGATGAGGAGGAGGAGGAGGAGGAAGAGGAGGAGGAGGAGAGCAGCAGCAGCAGGAGGAGGAGGAGAGGAGGAGGGAGGAGGAGGTTGCGGGCCTTCTCGGAGGGCGGCGGGGCTTCTCGGAAGTCCCCCCGGCCTTCTGAGCTGCCCTCGCTATGTTTAGGGGAGCGCAGAATTCGCATAAACAAAAGAACTCGGAGGTCCGCGCGGAGGATTTCTCGGATCGGCGTTGAGGCCCCCTGGCGGCGCCTCCGGCGCCGCACCTGGCGCGCGTCGCGCGCCAGGGAGGGGGGTCCAGCGCGGATCCGAGAAATCCTCCGCGCGGACCTCCGAGTTCTTATGTTTATGTCAGTCAGTCTTCGTTCCCCTAGAGAGGCCGTCGCTATGTCTCGAGAAGGGAGTCGACTACATAATTGATGTGCCCCAGAGTTGTTGTTTGTCCGTCGACTCTGCGAAACACTACGTGGCATCATGGTTGGTAAACGGAGCAATGATCGCATTCCCTTTAGATTCGTCCGAACAATGGATTTTGGGGTAAATCAATAGTCGATCCCCTGCTCGAATCTCTGGAATTGGCTCAGCAGAATGCTTCTCAGAAGGCTTCAGGCCTCCCGAGCTTTCTGAGGAGGCCCGCCCGCTATGCCTCCCCCCATGGGTGCGCCGACCGCAGGAGTCAGGGGGCCGTCTTTGCGCCACCTCCTCGAGGATGGAGGTCTTGCCTTAAGTCAGGCATGTCCCTCTACGGGAAAAGTATTTAATAATAATCCCTATATAGTCTGGGGACGACTTTTTGACTACTCTTGACTACTTTTGAACAGTGTTCGACTATGTTCTTTTTCGTCTAGAATCCGCCCGCCTGGAGGATGGCATGCCCGACCTAACGCTAACTCCTCGAGGATCGAGGTCCTGCCGCATCTTTCTGGTCGCTTGCGCCTGCTGAGGCCTCTGTCTCGTGGAGCCTCAGCGGGAAGGTGTTGTTATCCCTGTGGCGCCGAAAGGTCGTTCTCCGCCCCCCCTGTGTGACGGTGACGATCGCACGTGGGGTGGCCCCGCGCGTTGGTGCCCGAAGGCACGGTGTGTTGTTCACAGGTGTTCCGCAGGCGCTCTGCCGTTGCTCGCAGGCGGTCTCTCCTTAGTTTGGTATTCGTCGCTCACGGGCCGTCGTGAGGGAAACCTGTGCGATTCGAGGCCGCTGAGGAGAGTACCGGGTGCTGCTTGTCTTCGCAGGGGTTGAGGATGCATCAATCAGGTATATTTTCCTTCAGACCAGCAATCGGAATGTGAGCCTGGCTCGTTTTTGTTCCTAAAGGTGCATGGCCACACATTTGCATATGGCTTGCGTTTCTTCACATCTTTGTGATAAGGTAATGCCCCGCGTTTGTTCTCGCCCACTGATGGGCCGATAATGCTTTACTCATGGCCCACTAGCACGGCGTCGTTAGTAGTGGTCTCTCGCATGCTATACATTGAATTCTTTACGCTTCGCGTATCCCCACCAGCCCATCTCACAACAGCAACTCTTGCGAAGCATGCCGACAGTCGTGTTCTTCAGGCGTGTGTCCGCTTGCCCCCGCATATCTCCCCTGTTCCTCCTTCCTCCCGCCTCCTTGTACATCCTCCTTGTGGGGGGAGCGGGAGAAGGGCGAGGCGGAGAAGGAGGGAGAGAAAGCGCTCCTCGTGGTTTGAGTCGTTCGGGCCCTTCTTCCTGGTGTGAGTCGTTCGGGCTCTTCGTGGTGTGAGTCGTTCGGGCTCTTCGTCCTGGTGTGAGTCGTTCGGGCTTCTCGTGGTGTGAGTTGTTCGGGCCCCTCGTCCTGGTGTGAGTCGTTCGGGCCCCTCCTCCTGCCCGTCCAGAAACGACGCCCAGGCGAGTAGAGGGTCGTCCTGATGGGCTTTTCGGCGTCTTGGGTGCCTCGGGGGGGCCTCTTTGGGCCGTTTGGGATCCTCTTGGGGGCCTCCTGGGGGCCTCTTGGGGCCATCTTGGGGCCTCTTCGTGCCTCCTGGGCGCTTCTCGGGGCCATCTAGGAGGAAATCGATCAAAGAAGAGGGGAGCTTTAATTAGCGCTGCCCCCTCAGAAGGCCAAAATGAGCCCAAAACCCTTTGTAAAATCAATGATTCTGGTTTGAAAGAAGAGGGGAGCTTTAATGAGCGCTGCCCCCTCAGAAGGCCAAACTGGGGCCAAAACCGAAGTAAAATCAATGATTCTGGCGTCAAAGAAGAGGAGAGGGTTTTTTCTGCCTCCCCCCGTCGGGGCCAGAATCCTCGTGAGGGGTGTCGTTTTTTAGCCCTCCCAGGAGTCGAACAAGACCCCTCCGGCCACCCGCGAAAGGACCTCTCCAGGCCCAGGGGGAGGGGGCAGGGGGAGGGGTAAACCCCTCCCCGAAGGGGAAGAAGGGGGGTTGAGAACAGAGAGAGCTCCCTAAACCACTCACGCCCAAAGGGCTGGTGGGATTTGACGTTGAATGTTTCCCCCTTCTTCCTCATCATGGTCGCTCTGGGTTCCTCCTCTTGCTGACTTGTTTCCCACGGTACTGCGACATTGCATAGCTGACCCCAGTCCTAAACATCTTTTCTCGCTTTCTTCTGGCTTTTCGCAGGGTGCGGCTGACTTGGCCACTTGGGCACAAACCCGCGAATTGACGTCCTAGGCCAAGGGTTGATGATTCGCAGTATGTTGTACGTTCTCCTTGTCCTCTATCCTTCTCTTCTCATCCTATCCCCTCTACCCATGTCCTTTGAGCCGAAACTATGTAAGACACGATTGGCCGAGAGCAAGCGGAACGTCAGTTTCTGCGTGCCGTCGCGAAACAGGCACGAACTTGGTACGATTTTTTCCCTGCGAGCCCAGGAGCAGAGCAGCCCTGGGGGGTGCCCTCATGGGTCCTCATGGGTCCTGATTGGCTACCAGTCGCCTGGGGGAGGGGGGGTTTATTAATAGGGGACCGTGATTAAACCTTTCCCCTTAGGGGATTTTGGAAGAGGGAAAAGGAATCTCGTTAGACCACCTGCGCCCAGATGGCCGGTGGGATTCTGTAGTCGATCCCCTGCTCGAAACACGAGGGTTGCTTCGCCGGGCCGTTCGCTCGAGGAAGGGTCTGGCGCCGGCCCGAGGCCACGGCGGAGTGGACCTGGTGCTGCCGGTCTTCAGCGTCTCGTGCGGCTGGGAGACGCCCGAGCACCCAGACCCGCAGGCCACGGGAGCTCGCTGGGCGTCGTCGTCGTCTTCCAGATTGGATTTTCGCTCCAGGTCGCTTTCTGATTCCCCAGGGGCGCGGAAATGGTCCCCAGTGGCCGAGTCTGGGAAGAAACGCCAGGATCAAATAAACCACCGATTCGGAGATCTGGGTCCTCTTGTCTGTTCTCGCTCAAAGCAACCCGTGTCCGGGGAGGGAGCTGGCTTTGGAGTGGGCGCTGGGCGTGTTGTTGGCGACGTTCGTGGGTGGAGCACTGTAGTAGTGATGCAGTAGGCAGTGGCGTGCGCCAGACGCACTGGCCCAAATCGGAGAGGAAAGGGAAGGAGTTCGAGGGGAGGGAATGAAGTCAGGCCCAGGCACAAGTCAGAACGTAATCTTCCTACAGTCGAGGTGCCGAAAGATCCCTGGCGGCCAAGGCGGAGGGCGTGTGGATCTGATCGCCGGGGCCATGACCTCCCCTCGCCCGGATTCATCCTCCCCCGAATTCATTCTCGTCCGGGCTTCTTCCAATCCAGAGTCCAGGACCCGCGTCCACAGGACCCCGCACCATCCTGCCGTCTCCTCCGCGGCCCCCCGTTCCCCTCGCTCCAGCGCCCGCCTGTGCGGCGGGAGAGGAGCGGCGTCGGCGGCACGGACGCTGGCGCGTAAGGTGCCCGCGTGCGGTCGCGCGTGAGCGCCATCGTTTCCAATGTGACGTGCTGCGCTGGCGGCCCGCGTAAGCCGCGGCGTAAGGTCGCCATGCCTGGCTGCGCGAGACCTGTGTCGTTACGTCGCTCCCGTGGCCATCGCCGAGGCCCCGAGTGCGGGCAAGACTTGCGTCCATAGCCACTGCAGCTTGGAACTTCGGGCCTCCTTCCCCACCACTGGATATGGGCAAAGATCCAGCCCCCTGGGTGGCTCGATGTTGATCCACATCCAGTGCGCCTCGGCCTTGCAGCGCCCCATCCAAGAACATCCGAGACGCACCCAGTGGTCGGCGGCGAGCGAGGGAGGGACTTCTCAGAAGCCCGGACTTCTCAGAAGCCCTTGCGCCTTCGGAGAAGTTCTCCTGGTCTTCGGGGCAGGCTCAGGAAACTTCTCAGAAGCCCGGGGGACTTCGAGCCTTCTGGGCAGGCCTTCTTCTTTTCTCTGCCCCCCTCGCTCGCCGCCGATGTGGGGAACCAGATGGCCCCGCTCTGCTGCTTGGCATCGCTCGGACGCGTGCAATGTTCCTTCGGCGAGGACCGTCGAGGAGTATCCTCGATCATTTGCCGAACAAAAACGCTCACGAAACCGAAACAAACACAGGGAATGGACGTCCGAGCGATGGCGAGGCTGGGCAGAGAGAGGCGCCCGCCTCGCACCGACGCCGAGGGTGGCCCCCCCCGGGGGGCGCCGCGCGCGCGGCCCCCCCAAGGGCTCCCTCGAGGGCGCGAAGTTATTCGCGCTTCGCGGTCCTCGTTCCTTCTCCCCCTCCTCCTCGTCCTCCTATTCTCCCTTTGGGAGGGCGGCGCGAGAGCGCGAAGTTATTCGCGCTTCGCGCAGCGCGAAGCGCGAAGTTGGGAGCCCTAGCCCCCCGCGGCAGTCCGGCGGCGGGGCCCGTGGCCCGCAGCAGGGCCGGAGCCCAGCGATTCGGCGGAGCAGCTCGCGGGAGCCTCGCGCAGGGCCCGCAGGGAGGGAGGGAGGGAGGAGGAGGAGGGAGGGAGGGAGGGGGAGGGGGAGGGGGAGGGGGAGGGGGAGGAGGAGGAGGGGAGGAGGAGGAGGAGGAGGAGGAGGAGGCGGAGGAGGAGGAGGAGGAGGAGGAGGAGGAGGAGGAGGAGGTTCCGTCTCTGGCATAGAGTGGGGGTGCGCAGCAAGAGACCACATGCTTCTCGTCAGGGCATTCTGGGTTTCTCTGTCCGCGCGCTGCGCGGTGACTTCCCGCAGCCGTTGAAGGATCGGGCCGGGCGAAAGGGGGGGATTTGGAAAGGGGGGGGTACGAATTTTGCTGCATGCAGCTGGTTTCGGCCTCACCGAGGGGCCCATTCCTCGATACATAGCGGCGCCGGGAGGCGCCGGGAAAATCAGCTACGTGAGCTGATTCTCACCCCCCCCCGTTGTTATCCCCCCCCTTTCGCCCGACCCGAAAGGAGCTGCTGCGTTCAGGCTGCTCCAGGTTTCCCTTCAGGTGCACCTCGCGCGCGGGTGTTCAGGGTTGGGTTTCTTGCGAGGGTTTCTTGCGGCCTCGCTCGCACTGTACTCGCGTGCGCTAGCGTCAAGTTGGGCATGGCCCTCCACAGGAGGAGTATACAGGAATGGCAAGAACAGCGCTCTGGGGAGGGTGTTTCGTTTATTTCTGAAATGAGATTTGACCAATTGTTGGCTATGTATGATTGGTCTTCCGAAACCCGCCTGTAGGGGAAAATGCCCGACCTACATGTATCTCGCGTGCGCTAGCGTCTCATGAGCAAGCGCCGATTTTCGAAGAACAGGAAGCGGTCGGGGCTCAAACGGGGGTCAGTCAGAGCGCCAGAGTTTGCAGGATCCTGCAGAGGCAGGGTTGCACTGACCCGAGTTGAGATGCAGGATCCTGCAGGATCCTGCACAGCCCCACCGACCCGGGTTTGCATTGACCCAGGTCAGAACATCCCCGAAGTGGTATACACTCAGGTGGGGAAACACACAGAGACAGTTAATCGTCAGCTCCTGGAAAATATGGGAAGTGGGGGGGAAGACGAAAACCCAGAAACTAGTTATGGGGAATCCTGGGATGTGTGTGTGTGTATTTCCTTGATGCACCTCATCTTTTGGCGGTCCGCGCGGGTCTCTGGGATTTGTGCTGGGGTCCCCCTGGCGGCGCCTCTGGCGCCGCCCCTCTGGCGCGCTCAGCGCGCCCCCCAGGGTGCAGGGGCCCCAGGGTGGGGGGGTCCAGCGCAGATCCAGGGGGCATCCGCGCAGACCGTCGAACGTTCATGTTTCAGTCGGGCATGTCCCCCTACAGGAGGAATAGTCCAACATATGCAAATAATGGGCAGGAGCCTACTTCTTGATTATGCTTCTGCATATTCTTGAACCTGTTCCGGCTGTGTTTGATTTGTCGTCCACAATCCGCCTGCAGGGGGAATGCCCGACGTAAGTTGATGTGTATGCCGTGTCGTGTTCCTCTCCATTTGAGCGTTGAGTAGCGTCGGTCAGCGTCGGCTCACGAGATCGAGCAAGAGGGCACGGGGGGCTCCCCTGGGCTGCCGCAGAGCGCTGCGGGCACGCCGCGCCACGAGCAGGGCGCGAGCGGCACGACGGTGCGGCGCGTTCGCGGGCTGCTTCCCTTGGGTTGTTTTTTCCCTCTCTGGAGCGGAGGTGGAGCGGAGACGGAACGAGGGGAGGGGCAAGACAACGCGAATTGTCCGTCGCGGCGCCGCAGAGGCAGCCCGCTCGCGCGAGGAGCACCCCGGGGACGCAGCACGATCGCCGCAAGCGGGGTGTTGCTCGCGCCGTGGTCACAGCGGTTGCGGCGGGGGAGGCTTCCCCTATGCTTTCCTCCCTGCGGCTGCTCGCTGCTGCCTCCTCTCCCTCATGCTCTGTCCGTTCCTGCTCCCTCCTCCCCTCGTCTTTTCCCCCCCTTCCACTCCTCTCGTCCTCTGCACATCCCCTTTCTCCCCCTTCTCCTCCTTCTCCTCGTCCTCCTCCTCCTCCTCCTCCTCATCCTCCTCCTCTTCCTCCTCCTCCTCCCCCTCCTTCTCCTTCTCCTCCTCCTCCTCTCTCACTCATCCTCAATCCTCCGCCTCATGCGTATCCTTCCTCATCCTTCTCTCCTCCATCCTCGCTCGCATTCGTTCTCCACCCTGCTATCTACTTCACCCGCCCTCCCTCATCCGGCCCACCTGTCAAGGGGATGCACCTCGCGGTGATCAGGAAAGCCCTGAAGAAGCAAAAGAAGGAGCTGCAGACTCAGCGCGGCCAGTTCACAGGACGGCACGCGCTCCGGACACAGGACGGACGACGATCGACCACGGGCGCCGGTGACGCCCCGCTGGTCGTCCTCATCCCGCTCCTCCCATCCATCTCTCTCCCCCGCCTCCATATGCTGCTCCTGAGGATGAGGAGGAGGCGGAGGTGGAGGAGGAGGAGGAGGAGGAGGAGGAGAAGGAGGAGGATAGGAGGAGGGGGGGGGGCCTCGGGGAGGCGAGGCCATCCTCCTGCCAGTTCTCTTGCCCGCTCCCTTCTTCTCCCTCCCTCCCCCGGGAGACCTGTGGGCTCGGCCCGCTTCCTCCGTGGCCCGTCGCCTGCCGTGCTGTCCCAGCACAGGCGCCGCCCCAACCCCCCCCCTCGGGGACGGAAAAGAGTGGGGTGATGACTAGGGGGGGGTGGATATCATGGCGGGGGCCATGATATTTCCCCAGATTTCATGGCGCCTCTTCTTAGTTCATTACGTCCTTGGCCCCCCCGCTTGGCCGCGCACATGCCGCCGGTCATGATTTGCACCCTTCCCTCTTGGACACCCCCCTCTTTGCCGCCCACGACCCCCCACCCATGGCTCCCCACCTGCACCTCGATGACATCTTCTGCAAGTCAGCGGTGCCGCCCCGCTGGGCTTCCAACCGCACGGGAGACTCGAGGCGGGTGTCGACGCAGGCGGAGGTCGGCCAGAGCACCAGACCTTGCAGGATCCAGCGGAGCCCGGGGTGCAAATTCTTGCAGAAGCAGCGCCATGAACAGAAATTCGTAGCGCTCCGCGCGGAGTCCTTGGAACTGCGCTGCTGTCGCGCTCCGCGCGCTGGGGAGGGGGGTCCAGCGCAGATCGAAGAAATCCGCGCGGAGCGCAGACAGTCGATGTTTATGTCGTTTTTCCTTCTTCTTATCTTCGCCGAAAATCTCCAGTGCCGCCCTGCCTGGCCTTCGAAAACGCACCGGGAGGGTCTCGCGGCCGCTCGAGGCGCCCCCCGAGACGGGCGAGAGTGCTCCAAGCCGGCCCACGACGGACGAAGGCTCTCCAACACCCCAAGAGATTCCCACCAGCGCCCAAGAAACCGCCGAAAGCGCCCGGTAGAGCTCCCGAAAAGGCTTCGAGAGGCTGAGCCCCGTTGAGCCACCTCAGGAAAGCCAGCGATTCGTTAGCATCCCCGTTGCTTCGTTTCCGATAAAAGTCCGAGGCTTCCGCGTGACCCCCCGAGGACCCCAACGCGCCTCTGGGAGGCGCCGCGAGCCGCCCCAAGTGGTTCCAAGCGGCTCCCAGGACGCCCGAAGAGGCACACGCGAGGCTCCGAAGAGGCTTCCAGGCGGTACCGAAGAGCCCGCGGGAAACGCTCAAGAGTCCCCAGGAGGCTCCCACCAGGCCCAAGAGCGTCGCTGCACGAGGCCCCAAGAGGTGCCCCCAGGAGGCCTCAAGAGGACTTTCACGACGTCGCCAACAGGCCCCGAAGAGACTTCCATGAGATCTGCCCCGAGGAGACAGGCAAGAGGGATAGCTCGAACGAGGAGGGAGAAAATCCGGATCGGGAGGGGGAGGTCAGAGGAGGAGGTGGGAGGAAGAAGTGGCCAGACGAGGTGGGGGGGGGGGAGACGGACGCGGAACAGAGAAACCGAAGTAGGAGGTGGAATTGACGGAGGCCGAGTCACATGAGGGGGCATTGACGCCAGCCATAGGCAGTCGCTTGGCAATTTGTTCCTCCTGCTTTCACGTAGCCTTACTCATCGATTTTGCCTCCTCGAAGGTTTGTCTTGATTTGTTTCAGGGTGTTCGCGGTCTCGAGGGCTGGGCGGCTTATCGTCATCCGCCGTTTACTGACCTCTCCCGGCGGTGCGCGAAACGGTGGTGGCGCGAGGGGTCGGTTTTCTTCGAAGGTTTCTCCCCGCCCCGCTCCCCGCCGAACGAAATTTAAGTCGGGCCTGTCCGTCTACAGGGGGAATATGAAATAGTCAAAAAAGGTCAGGGGACGATGTTTTGAGTATGTTTGAATATTTGGGGGTATTGTTTGACTATTTTTTATGTTTCCTCGAAGATCCCCTTGTAGGGGGACCAGCCCGACTTAAGGTTGGTTTTCTTCGAAGGTTCTTCCCCGCCCCGCTCCCCGCCGAACTAATCTAAAGGCCGACCCCACTATCAGAAGCACGGATGTCCAATGCTACAGGCGGCCCAGATTAGTATGTCGACCCTGCCAGATCAAGTATACCCTCGTGTCCTGTGTCTTGCGACCCATGCCTCTTGCACTTCTGTGGCAACGCGGCCCTCGGAAGGGTCTTGTGTGCTCTCGCGTGTCCTGTCCAATCGAGTTCGACTGTACACGTGGTTTCAAGCTATCTCCTCCCTTTTTCCGGCTCGCGTGACCGAGTTCCACAATGCGTCTTCTGCTCGTCTTTCCGCCTTCGCTCTTCGGCACCCACTCTGCCTTTCTGTTTCCTCTGCCATTTTATTGCCATCGCATTTTGCCAAGGCCCTTCGGGCAACCTTTCCTTCGCGCAGGTGGCCAGCGTTTCTTTTTGGAATCTCTCGAGTCTCGAGTGCGACCACTCTCGCGCGGCGGGTCTCCGGCCTTGCCCAGATGGCGACCCTCCCGCCTGTCGCTGGTGTGCCGTCTTCTGCGGTGGGTCCTGGTAATCCCCCGTCTCGTGGGCCTTCGCGCATAGTCTCCACGAGGCAGTCTGCGACAGGAGCGATGCCGCCATTGTACCCACTGACATGAGCACTCTCGATCTCTCCATGAATTTGATCGATCGGCCTCTCAACCACGACGCCTTCGGCGATCCGAATTCACGCGCCGCCCCCCACGATGGAGCCAACGACCATAGAGCTGTCGACCCCTTCGCTGACCGCTTGCGGGGAGGAGGAGGAGGAGGAGGAGGAGGAGGAGGAGAAGGAGGAGGAGGAGGAGGAGGAGGAGAAGGAGGAGGAGAAGGAGGAGGAGGAGGAGGAGGAGGAGGATGACGAGGAGGAGGAGGAGGAGGAGGAGGAGGAGGAGGAGGAGGAGGAGGAGGAGGAGGAGCAGGAGGAGGAGGAGGAGGAGGGGGCCTGCGGGCGCCGGCCTTGGTGGAGCGGGGCTCTCCCAGGATGCTGGGGCGCTGACCCCGAGGAGCCGTCCGATGCCCCCCGTGGCGCTCGCTTCCTCCTGGGGCGCCTCGGCCTCGCTGCCCCGAGCCTGCGGGGGGGGAGGGCTGCGAGCGCCTGGTGGAGCCTCGTGGGCGGCCCTCGTCGCCACCGCTGGATTCGCCTCGAAACCCTAGTCAGAACGCACCCCAGGAGAGGCCCAGGGAGCAGCGGCATCGGTACCTCTTGGTTTTCCCTATTGCCGAGCGTCGGCGACGCATCCCAGGGCCATTTTGCAGGGCTGGACGTCTCCGCGGTCTCCGCGGCCGTGCTCGCGGACTGCCCGCCCTGCGCGGTGGACGAGATGCGCGCCGTGGAGTCACGACGATCGGTTCCCGAGCATACCTTTCGGTCGGGCATGTCCCCCTACAGGCCGATATACCCCAAATAGTCAAAACTATTCAAAACATCGTCCCGATATGATGTTTTGCTATTTTTGAGTATTCCTCCTGTAGGGGGACATGCCCGACTTAAGCATAGTTTCAGACGCCCTCGGTGTGCTTCAATCTCTCGACAGCGCGCTGCCAACCCCGAGGCGAGCCATCGCAGACGCCAACTCTACTGGTTCACCGACGATGAGGACGCCGACGACACCATGCGCGAGCTCGATTCGAACGCGTCAGCGCACTGCGCATGCGTGACGATGACCTCATACATTTGCTTCAGGTTTGGATAGTTGGAGCTACGCGAAACACAATCGCCTGCATTCTTGTAGTCTCCTTCTCGTGCTCAAATAAGACGCCATCCATGGGTGCGTGGCGACGCTGTCTACGACAGGCCACTAGAAAACGCTTCAGAACGCAGCTACGCGTGTCTACACCAACGTGTCAGTGCCACCCTCGAGCCCCACCGACTCCAACACAATGAATATGGAGTCAACGAGCGCTCGACCACTACAGCAGCGAAGCCGTGAACGCTGCCTTCACGGGAACGTTGGTTGCGCTGTTTTCAGCTAGGGGAGGTGCATCGAAGGAGTCAAGTACAAGCTATTACATATTGGATCGAACACCAGGGATATTGCCGATCCGAGAACACGTCGCGGACCTGCGAGTTTGTATGTATATATACATATATATATATACTGTTTCGTTCCCATATCCAGGCCTTCCACTGGATCTCAGAAGCCATCCCCGATCGAGACGTCCGCGCGATCCTCCGACCCCATCCAATTCGATCCCACTATGGGAGGTCGGGATCATCCTTCCTCCTCATGCTTCTCCCTCTCTTTTCCATCCTTTGAAGAAAAACAAAACGCCATACACATAAGCTTTTGGAGTTCCGCGCGGAATTCTCGGATCCGCGCTGGACCCCCCCTGCGGCGCTTGGGGCGCCGCCGTGGCGCGCTGCGCGCGCCAGGGAGGGGGGTCTAGCGCAGATCCCAGAAATCCGCGCGGGCCTCCAACAGTTTGTGCTGATGGCGTCTGTTTTTCTTCGAATCCTCCTCCCAGGCCTTCCCCTGCCCTTCCCCTGCCCGGCCCCCACGCCCCCGAGGATTTAGCGAGGTGGGCGTCTTCTGGGACTGGGCGTCGCTGCTGCAGGGCGACGGGGACAGTGCGCCGGGCCCCATCAGCAGCAGCACCAGCGGGGATGCGAGGAGGATGTCTTTTCTGTTGTTTGGGATGTTTTGTTTCGGGGGAGGTGAGGAGGAAGAGGAGGTCGAGGACGAGGACGGGGACGAGGACGACGACGAACACGAGGAGGAAGAGGAGGACGAGGACGAGAACGAGGGCGAGGACGAGGAAGAGGGGCAGGAGGAGGAGGGCGATGACCCGGGCCCTGGCGTTATGGCCCTTTTAGCCCGCGTTCTTGTTCCCAGCCCTCCTGTGCTCGGCTCTCGTTCTGAATGGAGAGCACCGTGGTCTCCACCGCTTTCACCCGACTCCATACTCCTCCCCGCCTCCCTGCTCATGCCGTCTGCCTCCTATGCTTTCTTCCCAACTTTCTAATGCTGGGTTCTTGGTATGACCAGAGCACTGCGGTCGCGACTTCTCTCATCCTCCTCCCCCCTCCTGCCTCCTGCGCTGCTCTCTGGGTGGTCTCGAACTGTGCAACTGGCGCCACTTCCGTGGGCTCATGGGAGGTCAAGCGGAGCCGGGGAGTAACCGCATCCAGACGGGACATCGCTGCTCCCTTGGTGGTTGCGAACTGCGCAAATGGCGCCACTTTGGTGGGCCTCCTGAGAGGTCATGCGGGATCGGAGAGTACGCGCATCCAGACGGGACCTCGCAGTTCCCTGGGTGTTTGCAAATTTCGCAATTGGCGCCATTTTCGTGGGCTCCTGAGAGGTCGAGCGGAATCGGCATCCAGACAGCACCTCGCAGCTCGTCGGGGGGCTGCAGATTGCGCAATGGGGACCATTTTCGTGGGCTCCTGGTAGGTGGAGCGGAGTCGGGGAGTACGCGCGTCCAGACGGGATCTCGCACCTCTTTGGGGGTTGCGAATTTCGTAGCTGGCGCCACTTCCGTGGGCTCCTGGGAGGCACGGCGATGTCGGGGCGCATCCACACGGGACCTCGCAGTTCCCTGGGTGTTGCGAATTGCGCAAGTGGCGCCTCTTCCGTGGGCTCGCTGCTCCTTGGGGGTGGGGGGGAGAATTGCGCAATTGTCGCCGTTGCGGTTGGCTCCTGGGAGGCACGGCGGAGTCGGGGAGTGCGCGCATCCAGACGAGACCTCGCCGCTCCCTGGGGGATTGCGGAAGATACAGTTTGCGCCATTTCCGCGGGTTGTTGCGAGGTCGAGCGGAGTCGGGGTCTATGCGGACCCAGGCGGGAGTTCGCAGCTCCTTTGGGGGGATTGCGAATGGCGCAAGTGTTGCCACGTTCGTGAGCGTGAGCTCCTGGGAGGCACGGCGGAGTCGGGGAGTATGCGGGTCCAGGCGGGACCTCGTGGCGCGTTGGGTGGTTGCGAATTGTGCAATTGTCACAATTTTCGTTGGTTCTTGGGAGGCACGGCGGAGTTGGGGAGTACGCGCATCCAGACGGGACCACGCAGCTCCCTGGGTGGATTGCGAATTGCACGATCTGTGTCTTTTCGTGGGCTCCTAGGAGGCACGGCGGAGACGGGGAGTACGCGAACCCCGAAGGGACTTCGCAGCTCCTTGGGAGTCCCGTGTGGTTGCGAGTTGGCAATTGTCCTCACGTATGTTCGTGGGCTCCTGGGAGCCCATAGGAGTCTGGCAGCACGCGGGCCACGGTCCAGTGTAGTCTTGGAGTGCGCTTGTCCAGACAGAACCTCGCCATTCATTGGATGGAATTGCGCACTGGTCGCCATGCTCGTGAGCTCCTGGGATGGATTTGCGCACTGGTCGCAGTTTTCATTGAATGGACTCGCGCACTGGCAGCCCTTGAGCTGCCCCCCCGGGCCAGGACGACGAGGGAGGGAGGCCCCACGAGGCCCACAAGGGCGCCCCGAGATGCCCCCCGCGAATTCCCCCGAGGCTCCCACAAGAGGCCCCCGCGGGGCCTGCTTGGCCCCCCGGGCGGCGCCCCCAGAGCCTCCGAAGCCTCCACGAGGCCCTCAAGAGGCCCCAGGTGGCCTCCAAGACGTCCCCAAGAGGCCCTCCAGAGGAGCCCAAAGGGGGGGGAGGACGGGAGGACCATCGCGGCCGGAGCCCGTGGCTTTGCGCTCCTCGCGACAGCTCGGCGGCGCGTTCTGGGTGGGGGGATCTCGTGGGAAAGGGGCGCAGGCGCCCTCTGGAGGCGGCGGGGGGCTTCTCCGGAGCCCTCCAGCCTCCTGTCTGTCTGCGGCCTTGCATCCCCTGCGGACGCGTAGGCGTACGGAAAAAAGCGCTGAAATCACACCTAATGGAACAATAATGCCTCGCTGTATACTTAAGTCGGGCCGTCCCTCTACAGGAGGAATATTCAAAATAGTCAAGAAATAGTCAGGGGACTATGTTTTGAATATTTTTGACCATTTAGGAATATGTGTTTTAGCTTTTTTTGTTGTTCGTCGAAATCTCCCTGTAGGGGGACACGCCCGACTTAATTGTATACGGAGGTTGCCCATTGCTGCCCGTTTCCGTTTTCGGGGAGTGGTCGGGGTGGTCGCCTGGGAAGGGGGTTACCATTTGGAGGCAAAATGCATTCTGTATGGTTGTTGTTTTGAGCCAGGGATGGTTCGGGGGGGCTCATTTCATTGTCTGGGTTGGTTGCGGTCGCTTGGTGGAGGGGGTCCAGGAAACGCTCGAAACCCTTCAGGCCCCGGAGGGCGGGTGGGGTTCCGTTGAATCCCGCATAGTCGGCGTGATCAGGTCCATTCTTGGGTTTGACCTGGGCTCGTCTGGCCTGATGGCTCCTGCCTCTGGTTTTGAGAACCTTCCTCGTTCGTACGAAGGCTTCTTGGACGGCAAGTCGGGCCAGTTCTCGGGCAGATGCCGCCCCCTCTCGGGTGTCAGGCCGGACGAGGGGGGAGGGGCATATGGAAAGGTTCGGATGCTTTCCTGGGAGGTCAAATTCTGATTTTGCCCTGGTCCGAAGTCCGGCTTAATCCCGCTTAATCCCGCTTGATCCGGCTGAATCCCGGTTAATCCCGCTGAATCCGGCTTACCCCTGCTTCGTCTGAGGCCCTCTCCAGCGTAGCAGCTCCCAAATGGGACTTAATCCTCCTTAATCTTTCCGACGAGTTGCCTCCTAAAAAGGAGGGGGGCATATGGAAAGGAGGGGTGCGACACTTGCTGCTTGCCGCTGGTTTCGGCCCCGCCGCCGGGCGCGTCTCCGCGGTGCCATTGGCGGTTTCCAGCGCCCGGAGGCCCCAGTGAAACGCAGCTGCGCGAGCTGGGAGGCCCGCGCAGGAGGTCTGCCTCTCGGCCGTGTCGGAGTTAGGAGAAGCGATGCCGACACCACCAGGGGGCCCACCTCCAGCGAGGAGGTCCACGATGCCTTCCCGAGCGAGAGACTGGGGATGTCTCGAGCGAGAGGGGGGGACCACACCACCAGGCAGACCCCCCTTGCCTCCGCGCATCTCCTCGCCCTGTTGGTGTTGGTGCCGCCTTGCCTTGGTCCTACCGTGGGCACGGGTTGCTTCCTGCTCTTCCTCCCGAGCTGTTCTGGCCGAAGGGCTCTGGCAGCCCAGTGTTGTCGTCCGCGGCGGACTGCTGCCGCGGCGCGGCGGACTGCTGCCCCTGCGGCGCGGCGGACCGCTGCCCTTACACTCTGGGGAGGGCCCACTGAGACAATGCCAGGTGCCTCTCGAGGTGCGTTCTCGTGGCCACGGCTGGGCGCAGCTCGGACAGCTTGGATGCGCTTGGACCCCGGGAGCTGCTGCTGTCTCAACTCGCCCTCCTCCGACCTACGGGGATCGCTTCGCTCTGTGAGCGCCATTCCCCTCTCAGTCTCACGACATGTGCGGACTCGACGGCACATCGAATAACAGATGGTCCACCACGGCCGCAGGCTGCTGCCGCGCCGCCGCCGCCCACCGCGGCGCCCGCCGGGCGGGGGCCTCTCCCTGGGCGCCGTCTTGCGTCGCCCAGGGCACGCCTGGCGCGGCCGCCCAGACACCCTCGCGGGTGGCCTCGCGGCAGAGGCAGTGGCCCAAGGGGATGAGCCAGACGGACACGGGCTGGCCCAAGGAGTTCCTGCTTGCCAAGAGTCTGGGCTGGCCTCTGTATTTCTCGCCGCCGCAGTACTTCGCTTGCCCGCGAGAGAAGTGCGCCGCCCTCGATGGCCCACCGCACAGCGAGTGGGCCTCGCCGGAGTATGTGGTCGGCCCGAAGGGCATTGTCTCGACGTTTTTCATGCTGCACTGACGTGGCCCTGGTGAGATAGGGTGGCGTGTGGCTCGCGGCGTGATGAGCAAGCGCGGCAACTGAGCACGGTTCCCGGTGTATCTTTCTCTCATGTGTCCATTCCCCCATTAAGTTTTTCTCCTGCTGCGTCCGTTGTCCTCTTCCTGATGCCCACCTTTCTTTCTCGCTTCTGCCCTGCAGTAACCCAGAAGTGTCGGATGTTTGTAGTTCATAAAGGATCCGACATGCTGAGCCTGACCGTGCGGTCGACCAAGATGGCAGTGGTTGGGCACTCCGCGATTGGCCTACGACTGGTGCGGGCAGCGCCGTCACGTCACGTCGCCCGTGCGAAAAAGGCAGGCCCCGAACAGTGGGCCGTTAGCGGCGCATCGGTTTTGTCGTGCACGCCATTTTGCATGTATAATATCAGGGCGCGATGCGAGAACTAATCGTTGCCGATGCGTCTGTGTGGCAGAGTCCGCGACGACCGATTGAATAAGAGAGCATCCAGATCGTTGTCATCTGCTGCGATGCCGGGGGTGCCTAGGACGAGGGGGATGAGAGAAAGGATGATAACCCAGCGGGATGAGAGTGGTGGAGCGACAAGCAATGGCTCGGATATGAGGAATGACGTGGGCGGAAGGAGGGAGGCAGGGAGGAGGATGAGGTTGGAGGGGGGCAGACCGTGGATTGGGCAGCGAGCACATGAGGCGACGCGCCGAGCCAGGACGATGGGAATGCAAGGAAAACAAGAGAAGACGAGAACGCACGGTCGCCCACGCAACACCGAGGGCACGCCCGATCCAGTCCCAGTCAGGCATCACGGCGGCGGGCGCACTCCCCCCCCCAGGCCAGACCCG